TATATGTGGGACGCCTGCCACAGCATGGCTTATCAAGTGGTGCATAGGTCCTCACCCGAGATCTGAACCAGTGAACCCCAGGCTGCTGAAATGGAACGTGTGAACTTAACCGCTGCACCACCAGGCCGGCCTGGTGCATTATCTTTCAATAGTAAAATTTTGGAATTTAGTTTCTTTGGCTTGAAAGAATCATTTTCTTTTTTCAAGAAACAAATTTAATGCTGAAATCATAAATTATAAAAATATCCGAAAGCCCCATGGCTGTGTTTGCTGCAGTCTTTCTGAGCCGGATCCATCATCTCTGTGCACCCCATTGGACTGGCTCAGGAAGCCCTTTTTTACCCTTTGGGAAGCAGAATCTGAGATGTCTGCAAAATAGCCCGCAAACAACATGAGTTAGTTGTGTATAGAATCTTCTGCTGTCCTTAATCTTAATTTTTGGAAATTTTCTCTATGTGATCAAAACTTTGCCCCTCACTAGAAGAAGCCAGCTCATTTTTCAACACACATTTCCTGGAGAAAGTGCCAGATGAAGCCTTCACAAACAAAAGGGGGGCTGCTTTCTTTCCTGAGAAATCTGGGACCCTGGCTTCCCTGAGATGCTCATCCGTGCTGGGGGAGGGGCTCATTGTTTGAGTGGCCTGGTGGTTTAGCAGGCAGGACCACAGACTGCAAAGGACTAGAAGGACCCTGTCCCTGCAGAGGCTCAGGAACGTGGCTGCAGCTCATTGTGTATGCTCCATTTGACATTTCAGCTCAAGCCTGTTGGGGACAGACAGACTGGCCCCCAGTGATGGTACCTCTACCACCTTCTGCTTAAGCCGCTCCTTTACCCATCTGAAGAGGAAGTGGGGGCGGCAGACAGGACTAGGAATCCACACTCCCACCTCCCCTGGGACTGGTAGGGGTAGCATCGTTCTGGCCACTTGATGTTTGGAGCACATGGATAATAGTGTACCCTGGCATTTAGGGAATTGTTTGAGGTAAAATCATAATGATAATTTTTTTTTAAGTAAAAGATGTCTTTTTTGCCTTGTTCTATTATTAAACACTGGCCATTGGTGTTTTCAGGTACTCCGAGAATTCTGTTTGTGGGAGTTTTGGAAGGACAAGCATTGATGTGTGCACTAGAGAATTAAGACAAATGATAATTGAAAGAGATGATAAAAGCTAGTGGTTTCCTTGGGGAAATAACCACGAACTGCTGTCAGATGGATTCCAATAAGAACATTGCTTTATGTGAAATGTTTCTTAAAGAGCTCATCCAAAGCATTTAGCCAGAGCACTTCTGAGGGCGCCTCTTTGCTGTGTGTTTCTTTATGTCCCCATCGGAGACTCTTCAACTTGTACTATTCACTATTCCGGCTGCCGTGGTTAGCTTCTTTGTGGTCAGCACCGAGTTGGAAATGAGAAATATCAGATTGCAAGAAAGATATTATTTGTGGACCCTTAAGATAACTCTGTAGTTTCGCTATATTGATTCCCATATGGATTCACCGTTATTGATCTGGGAGGTTACTTTTGCCCGTTAGCCCAGGTTAAGTGCTTCGACTGTGCTTAAGGTGTGTCTTTAATGAAGCTTTTGGGCTTCTCACAGTGGAGACTGCTTCCCACAATCTGCATTTGTGTTTTCTGGCATTTATTTATTACTACTTGGGTCCTCCATCTCCTTGACATTTCAGCTGAAGCCTGCCGGGGACAGACAGACCCCATCGTGCCCTCTAGAGATTTCTGTTAGAGCCCCTGCAACACTTCATTGCTTTTACTGCTTTACAGAGTGTGGCACGAGGTACAGTGCCCGCTGAATGAATGAATCACTCCCTGGTCAAGTCTCACGGCCTCTTTCCAAAGGATGCTGTGCAGGAGACCTTCCATTTGCCCCTCCAGATCCACCCTCCACCCTGCTCCTTCTGCTCTGCACCCCAGGAGGCTCACCTGCCTGGACCAACCACAGCCTCCCTTTTCTCTGCCTTCCTGTTGGGTGTGACAGTTAGGGCGGGTATGCAATAGGACTGGATGTGATGGGATTGGCTGTGTTCCTCTATTAAAGGCCTTCTCCATACGGTTACCCTCTCGGGTTTCACTAATTCCTCCCCCTCCTTGCTCCTTCAGGCTTGGGGTTTCAGAGGGCTCTCTGGTGTTCCAGCCACAGGTATTGCATTATTCCTTACAGGTTTCCTTAAACCCCGCCCACACCTTTGTAAATAGCCTCTCTATTAAATGCTTCCCAAATTAGCCAATTGGAAGGAGCCCACTGGATCCTGCTGGGACCCTGGACTGATATTTACCCAAGTCACCTGGATGACAAAGTCGCTTATAATCTAGATATCATAATCTGTCTCTCTTGCATTATTTCAAGTAAACACTCTCTTCTGGGCTGGTCTACTTCAGATTAGAATCAAATGGAGCAGGGGTCAGCAAACTACCGCCTGGCAGGCCAAATCCAGCCTGCGGCCTGTTTTCGTAAATGGCGTTTCACTGGCACACGGCCATGACCGTTTGTTTACTTACTGTTGGTGGCTGCTTTTGAGCTACAGCAGGAGGTGAAGAGTTACAACAGGAACTGTACAGCCTGCAAAGCCTAAAATACTAGCTATTTGACCCATTATAGAAAAAGTTTGCTGATCCTTGATTTAGAAGAAAACCGTAACGATGGAACTTTATTGTTTCCATCAAGAGGCTCCCGGGCCAGATGCTGGGGCACTTGTGAGTGGTCCCCCGACAGTGACGTGGGGAGCTTTCAATCTTAGGCCTAGACAAGCTTGCACGAAGAAGCAACAAGAATGTGACCAGGAGAAGGGAGGAGGCATTTGCCTTTAAATGTGCTTATAATTTATGAGCTCATAACTAATAGTTTCCTGAAAAGAATGGCCCTCCCTCACCTTTCAGCATTTCTCTATCAAAGTTATTCTGTAGTATCTGTCTCCTCGCTGTGAGTGCCTCTGGGGAGAGTCCAGGGTTTACTCATATCCATGTTGACCAGTGCCTGGCACAGAGTGCCTGATGCTCCGTGAATATTGTTTGGCCAAATGGTCATCAACAGCTGCTTCAGAGAAGGAAGAAGGAAATAGGGCTGGAAAGCGTTAACTGGGAAGACGCATGAGTTAATGGTCTCAGGCTCTCCCTGACTAGAGTCTCTGTCTGTTCACCCTTCACAGAATGGGAGCAGCCATATGAAAAGGCTGTTTTCCCAGAAAAGGGGCCCCTCAGGGCAGACTGACTACATAATTTGCAGGGCACAGACCAAAATGAAAACGCGGGGCCCTTGTTCAAAAATTGTGAAGATTTTCAAGACAGTGTCAACAGAGCATTAGGCCAAGCACGGGCCCTTCTAAGACCTCACAGCTTGCATGCCTGTGAAACCAGCCCTGTCTTGAGGGTTCCTGAGAAGAAGGCAGTGGGTGGGGAGTCAGGAACCGTTCTCCAAGTCTAGAGGACTGCCAGGCAGGACAGACACGTCTGGACGCTAAGACTGTGGGCTGTCGGGACTCTGCAGCGATGAGTCTGATAACGCCTCGCCTGGAAGAATGCTCCGTCACTTAGAGAGTTTGCATTTACCTCAGACCCTCACGCCAGAGCGCGCTCCTCCTTCCCAAGCCCACGTACCTGGCTTCACACTGACTGACCTGCTTGCTCCCCGCACCTCCTGGCTTTCAGTTCAGCCCCAAGTCACCTAGGCCACCCCCTCCAGGAGCAACAAACATCACAGCCTGGGTGGCTTATAAACCGCAGAAATTTGTTTCTCACAGTTCTGGAGGCTGGAAGTCCCAGATCGGGGAGCCAGCATGGTTGGGTTCTGGGTTGTCAATTGCCTTCTTCTGGCTGTGTTCTCATATGGTGGAAGGGGCTAGGGAGCTCTGTGGGGTCTCTTTTGCAAGAGCACTAATCCCCTTCTGAGGGCTCCACCCTCATGACCTAAGCACCTCCCAGAGGCCCCACCTCTTATATGAACGCATTGGGCATTAGGATTTCAATATATGAACTTGGGGGGACACAAACATTCAGACCATAGCAATACCTAACTGAAGAACAATGTATATATTATATGAATGGTCCCTTTTTCTTGTCCCCAGAACCCTCCCCCGCTCCCTTCCTCACCATAAAAGGGGGTTTAGAAGCCCATCCCAACCCTTCTGGGGGAGCCCCTGTGCCAGGACACCCAAAGTCTTTCCTGACACGAGACATTCACCCTGCCAGATGCTGGGGCTTCTCCCAGGCCCCAACCCTTCCGTCATCTACACCCTGAGCAGTCCTCTCCCCTTGGGATCACGGTGAGCCTCCAGGAGGGTTCCAGGTGGTAGCCTTTGAGCTCTAGCAAGGACTTCATGACTAGCGCTTCCTTTTGACTTAGAGGGATCCCTATTTTGGATTCTTCCAAACCACGGCCTTCCCCCAACTCTTCATCCACCCCACCACCCTTGCTACACAAGAGGGCTTAGGGCTCATCTCTAACCACTCTGCTCATGGCAGCTTCTCATGGCCTCTGCTGAAAGGCGGGGGCTGCCTCATAGTGCTAGGAGGCCACCCTTGCCAGCCCTGGTGGTGCCAGCTTCCCCATGCTAGGGAAGGTGCCCAAGCACTCCAAGGATTTCAGGCACGATGGTGCCTAAAACTGGCCTTAGGGAGGCCCATATTTCTGAAGCTGTAAGTTCTGGAAACCGTAGCAGACAGGAGAGTTGGGAAGCGGCACCGTGTAATACCAAGCCGCAGTTGAGAGCCTGATGGGGTCAAGCTGAGTTTGCCTTTGATCAGAAGCTCCAGTCAGACATCCCCGAGCCTTTGCAATCTCCTGCTTAACCTGGTAGCGGGGCTTCCTCAGGCCTCATTTGTCTCCCTGTGACTGATGTGGCCTTAATGGCAGCAGCTCCAAACCAGCTCCCTGCCGCCCGTGTGCAGACAGGTTTATTTTGCAGGCGGCCTGTCTGATGACTCTGTGTCCTTCCCGCCCCCTCCCAAGCTCGTCCTCCTCCACACCGACCTCTGTTTTCTGTCTCTCACAGGGTCCCCGGTGGCATATAGATCTCCAGCCTTGGGCGGGCCCTGCTCAGTCCCTGGATGAAGAAGCCTTGAGGTTCCTGAGATATATCAGCACCACCCAGGTTGTGTTTCAGGCTCAAGAGGGTTTGGAGATGATGTAAAAGATTCCAATGACGCCTTTTAGAGAAGGATGTGTCTGTGAGCGGGTGGAGAGGTTCCTGATGGGGCCTTGATAGGGATGTGGTTTCTGAGGCCTTGCTGCTTAAATTTATCCCCTCACTTAGAGGCAGATAAGATGCCTTCCATTTGCTTCAGCATCTGCTCCCTTCCAGGAGTATCATCATCCTGAAATGTTTTAATGATTCATCCCGATGTGTTTTAAAGATCCACTTTAGAAAATTGCTTTGGAAAACCATTCAAAGCGACAGATTCGTGCCCGTGAATAGTCCGCCAAGCGTGTCACAAAACAAAAGCCTCATCTGGAAGTTCAAGCTCCATTTTGTATTTGGAGGAATCTGCCTTTTCCCTTTTCGGCCACAGATGCTTAGCAGACTGGGACACGCTGGGCCAGAGAGCAGGGAAGAGGTTGCAGGCAGTCTGAGGAGAAGCTAATGAATCCGAAGGCTCTCTTTTCTTGGGGCGCTCTTAAATCATTCCTGAGCACCGGCCTTCATTAGTGACTTAACGCATTGTGGCAGCTCCAGCAGGCTGAGTCAGTGCCCGGAGCAAGCAGAGAGACCGTCCATTAAGGAGAGTCTATGACTCTTGACACATTAATCAGGAGGTTCCATTCTCCAGCAGCCTGATCCTGGGGAAAGAGAGCCAGAAGAGGAAATCAAGGCCTGAGGGAAACTTTGCCCTAAACTGAGAGGTGCTAGGAAATTAACAGCTCAGACTGCCAGTGACGTGCACACAGCCCCACTTAGGACACTGCTCTGTGGAGCTGGTGTGACACTGGGGATCCTGGGTTCTTTTGATCTTTCAGCCCACTGGCTCTTGGCCGCCCACTTCTCCTCCCAAACTTTGCTGGCAGCAAAGCCCACTTTTCATCCGTGGGAGAGAATATATTTCCAGATTTTTAGAAGGCTAGTTGAGGGGTAAAAGAAAGTCCCATTTCTCACACAATGCAGACAGACAATTGGAGATTTTAATATTTGTCACCTAGACATGCAAGTAAAAGCTTATTGAATTAATCATGAGTATGGGATAATAAACTGGTCCTGTGCTTTATAATTTCATCTTATTTTGCTTGCTGCTGCAGATTAATTTGGTGGACTTACACAGACTTAATTAAGATACTGAAATTTTAATTTTATAGTTTGGTTTTACATGAAGGATAAGAAGCTGGACCTCTTAACTGTGACTTAAGACCTGAAAGGCCCCAGAGAAAAATGAGAGGTGTTAAATCTGTGAGTTGAATTTGAGAACTATGGGCTCCACCCCCCCAAAATAAATTCACCCGGTGAGAACCTCCAAATTCTATTTTATACGTATTTCAGGTTAATGTTCTGAAATTTATAAAAGGCATATTTATTTAGAAGAGGCTCTTGAGGGGTGAGAGGGTCATTTCAAGCCCCTCTTGGAGCTTTCCTATGAGGTATGGGCTAAGAGGATAAAAATTCCAAAAACAGCAAAAAAAAAAAAAAAAAAAGCATCCTATGATGTAGTCTGATGTTGTCACCATGGGCAATTTATTTTGCTTCTCTGGCTCTCACTGATCTGATCTTGAAAAGGAAGAGATTGTATAAATTCTTTCTGCAGTCCCTCCCAGTTCTGTGAGCTTGTACTGTGCTGAGAGCAGTGCAGGACTGTTATTAACCAAGTCTTGTTGAGTACCTACTACGTGCCAGGAACTGTGCTAGGTCCTAGGGAGACAGTTTCTGCCCTCAAGAGCCTAACAAATTGGTTGGAAAGGCGGAGAAATGGACATAAAATTATTATTCAGCTTGATGAGTGCAGTAACAGAGATTTCGTTGTTGAAGTTCACCAGAAGAATTTTTGTCCTCCAGAAAGGAGGAGATAAAGTTCCAGACCTCACAATCAGGGGTCATTTTACCCCAGTAAAGTCCTGTGCTTTTCTGTACTTCCGGGTCACTAGGAGGCCAACAGGTGGGAGCTCATCAGAGATGACACTAAGTGGTGATTAATCAGAATCTTACTAAGCAGGGCTCCCTCCCGCTCTCTATGTAATGCAGAGCTTTCTGGCTGCTTTGGGGCTTGTACTTCATTTAGAACTCATCTTGAGATGAAAGCCTACAAAGCTGGCAGAATATTAGAGTCACTATTACCTCAAATTTTCACAGTTAGCAGTACTGAGTCATAATGGGTAAGGAAAAAAAATAAAACCTCTAAAGGTACTAAAGCAAATTCCACCCCCATCCTCTTATGCTGCTGCTTAAAATTAAAAAAGAAAAAATTATCTCCCTTAAATCTGTGTTCAAGCTTGTACAGCAAGGCCCAGCATTCAACATGCTCATCATCGATGTATTCATTCCTCATTCACTGGGCATTTGTGGAGCACCTGCTTTGTGGCTGGCACTGTGCTGGCCACTGACTGGGATATGAAATCTGAATTAAATACCCACACAAGCTGGTAAACAGCTAGGGTGCAAGAAAGTTATACGTTCTCTAACAGGGTGGACAGATGGGTGGGGAAGCTCCCCCAGGCCGAGGGAGCTCGGGAACAGAAGCACAGAGCATGGGACAATGTGGCATTAGACTGCAATGGAGCTGGCGCCCCTGGACTTGTGCACTGTGGAGGCCCTGAGGGCATGGCTGGAGCCCTGCACTTTTTAATGAAACACCAGAGGAGACAGTGTTTGGGTAGAGAGTGCAGAACTGCAAGCTCAGTTTAATTAGGTATTGTTTTCTAACGTGAAAGACCATGATTACATCTCAGAGTTCCAGAGTCGATGATACACTGTCTGCTGCTAACAAGAAACGGTTAAATCACAAACACAGTGCTCTGTTCTCAGGGAAAGCTCCAGAACAGCTTTGTATGGCAACCCCCAAACCATATGCCTCCAGGAAGCATGTGCGGCAGGATAAAATTAATCTAAGCAACAGTTGCTGTTTTAAAAAAGAAAAGTATATTTTAAAATCTATCTATCTATCTATCTATCTATCTATCTATCTAATCATCTACCCATCTATCTATTTTTAAGAATAACACAAGAAACCCGGGTTCTGGACATGCAGACTTTACAACTTTATAACAATAGTATCTCTTGTATTTACTGTTACTCACACACACAAATTGGGATAAAAGCAACAAAAATACAGCTCCTTCCTTGAGATTTTACCTTTCAAAATAATGGTATTACAGAAATATACAGTTGATCATTGAAGTGATTCTTGCCAACAGTCCCAAAATTTTAAGGGCTCTCTTTTCCAGATTCTACTTATGGGTTGGCAGAAATGCTATTCAAGTTTTTGGGATATAAAATGAAGTGAAAATAAGTTAGATTCCTTTAAGTTAAATAACTCAAAAGCATTGCAGAAAACACTTTCTTCCTGGAGTCTATTTTCCTTTGTCCAGGCCTGTTTCCCTTTATATGGCTAACATTACAAGGAGAATTAGAGAGAGAGAGAACATCATTACCAGAGAGGGAGCTTAGCTAGCAGTTACCGCCCTCACTTATTTTGCTTGCAAGAGAGTTTATTGAGGCCTTGGCCATAAATCTTAACAAGAAAGTTTGAAAAATCAATATTTAATTAATTTTTAGGAGCTGAAGTTTACTGAGTACTCCTAGTTGTTTTCAAAAGCTGAAGTCTATCAATGAGATGGTTAATAAATGGTTAAAGTGAAAAAATGCCTGAGCTGTATTTATTTTTGAGCTAGAAGAGGAAAGAGGAACATTAGCAGAGAGATCAAATGGAAAAGAGTGTCTTTCTGGTAGGGATATATCTGTGCAAGATGAAATCTGTGGAAGAAGAAGAAATGCTTAAAGTGTCATCTTTAATAGAAGAAAACCCTACCCCCCACTGTTGGCAGAGGAGGAGCAGCTGAACCTCAAAGCTCTGAGTCTTTTTATTTTTTTTTCAGGAAGATTAGCCCTGACCTAACATCTGCCACCAATCCTCCTCTTTTTTGCTGAGGAAGGCTGGCCCTGACCTAACATGTGTACCCATCTTCCTCTACTTTATACGTGGGACGCCTGCCACAGCGTGGCTTGACAAGCGGTGTGTAGGTCCACACCAGGGATCTGACCCCGGGCAGCCGAAGCCGAACATGTGAACTTAACCACTGCGCCACTGGGCCAGCCCCTGGGGGAGCTTATTAAAATGCATGTTCCGGGGCATCAGCCTCAGAGATTCTGATTTTACAGATATGGAGTGGGACTCAAGAATCTGTATTTTTAAGAGCCTCCCAGGTCCATCACAATGTAGGTGGACCACACCTGGAGATACACAGTGAGAGAGATGAGAGTTAGATTTTAATGGCATTAGAAGGGAATTATGAACAAGCACCTGTGAACGTCCATATCCTGATCTGTCATTATGGAGGTTCTTGGGGAGAGGGACACACAAAGAACAGTAGCAAATGGGAATCGTCGTCCCACTTTAATAAAGACACTCCAGGAAGCTGGCCTAGAGCAAACGGCTCAGGCTTAGGAGGGCCACGCTTGCTTTGGGACCCACAGCACTGCCCTGGCTTAGCTCGCTGGCTGCAGGAGGCAGGGCATGGAATAGAGCACCAACAAAGGTGCTGACGTGCAAGGCACAGTAACCTGCCTGCTAGTAAAACAGGCCCAACAGACACAAGGAGCTTTGACTAGTTGGATTAGCAGCTTCTCCCTTGGTGGATGAGTGGGGGCTAGGCGGTGGGCAGGCAGAGGCATAATTTCCATTTATCTGTGGGAGAATGGTAGGAAATGAATTCTACAAATAAACATGTTGACGCACCCAGTTAATAAATGAGTTGCTTGAGAGAAGATTTGATTCCATATATATTTTGTCCTTTAAACAGTGGTTGTGGATAGAGGAGTAGAAAGATATTGGGTTGAAAGAAAAGAATAGATATATAGGGTTTCACTTTTTAAGCTTCCCTCTAAAACGTCCATATCCTAGCAGAAGACTCTCTCATAGTCACTGATAAGTAGTGCTAGGATGGTTTGCCAGGCCAGCCCTAGCAGGAGTGAGGGAGATGCTGTATTAGTTGAATAGGCTCCACATAGTACCCTCTTTTCAGATTAAAACTTTGGAAAATTGGTTAAATAAAAGGATTGGGCAAGCGCAGAATGTCTCCTTAAGAAGAAAATTATTTACTGTTACGTTTTCCAATGAATTAAAGCAACGAACCTCCAAACACCCTTTGCATCTGGAGACGTCTGTTATCTGTGATGTGACATCAGGAGCTGCTGCGTGATTCATGGAGCAGCGTCACGACTATGAGAGTTTTGAGGGGTTAGGGGGAAAGACTGGTGCTTAGTAAGGTAAATACCTTGGCCACAGAACTTGTGTTCTGTGGTTCCAACAGCCTCAGCCAGGCACATTGTGCCAGCCTCAAACACAAGTCAGAATTCCTTACAAAGTATATTTACTTAATGTGCATTTGAAATTAGAGACTTGATTCGGCATGATTTAGATACATGTGCCCTTTGGTTTTCTGATCTGATTTTGATGGATGAGTTAAAAGAAGTGCTTTGGTAGCTCAGGAAGGGCCTCCTTCCTGCCTGGGGCTCTTGCCCTTCTCCCCTGGGAGGAAGCTCATTAGAACAGTGTATCACAAAGAGGACTGTCTAGTTAGCAGGGACTACAAATTAATTTCACTTGACCCCTTGTCAGCTGTTTACTTGGTTAACACATGCCACCTTTCCAGACCATGGTGGCCCCACCTTATCTGCCTGAGGTAAGGAATAGAAAATCTCATATCCTTCCGAGATCGATGCCCCCACATCGCATCTCCCAGCTCCTAGTAGGAATGCTGTGGGTAACAGACCTCCATTGTGTCAGTACCGTTCTCCACGTCTGGCACGTCTTCTTGCTCTCAGCCTCTTGGTCGACTTCTGTTTATCCTCCAAGACTAACACACCTCTGCAAAGCCTTTCCTGACCCCTCCTCCTGCCATCGTTGCTCCTGACTTGCTCTCCGCTGCATACTCAGTGCAAAGGGCTATAGCAGCTCTTAACTTTCCCTCAAACCTCCCTATAGTCTGCGCGAGGTTACTTACAATCTGGTATTTGGAATTCCTCCGAACGTTTTACAGCAGTCCTGTGTTTCCCTGGGGAGGCGAGTAGTTAGCAGTGGAGAAGGAAGTAACTCTCCTGTTATGGTTTTCAGGGACCGGGGAAGCAGTAAGTCCCTACCTGCCATTAATCATCCAGCGCTTTAAATTATTCACATTGATTTCCAATCCCTGCAGATTGCATGCAATCACATAAGCACAGACAGCCTGGCTACCGACTCCAGCCCTGCAAAGAAGCCCTGGTCAGTCTGTCTTGATGACAGGTTTGGCTTAGCTCATCAAATCCGAAATAAGCAGTGCCGTCTCTACTCTTTGGGGTAAGTACATTTTACAGCAGAAGAAAACACAACACTCTTGCATGCAGCCAAGGCCTTTTCAGCAACACAAAGTTATGAATGGTTGCATCATGTGTAACAGGTGCTATACTTTGCCTCCTGCCATCGTTTCAGACTCATCTGTCTGTTATGTAACTGTGGGCACATGTAGACCACCAAAAGTGGCCAGGGCCACTTCTTCTCCCATTCTGCTAGTAGTAAGTTGGCAACTTCAGTTTTCAGTGTGATGATAATCTGCTTGGTGAAGCCAATGATTTCCAGCTAGACTTAGAGCATCTTTATTATAAAGAGAGAATATTAAGAATGTACCCAGAAAAAAAACCAATGAGCATATTAGAAATTTTACACAGTTATGATGAGTGACCCAAGACAAATGGCCACTGTTAGATTTTTATGTTTTGTGCCAAAGGTAAATCTGTGAATATTTTTGGGGGGATTTTTTTTGGTGAGGAAGATTGGCCCTGAGCTAAGATCTGTTGCCAACCTTCCACTTTTTGCTTGAGGAATGTTGTCAGTGAGCTGAGATTTGTGCCAATCTTCTTCTATTTTATGTGGGATGCCACCACAGTGTGGCTTGATGAGCGATGTGTAGGTCTGCACCTGGGATACAAACCTGTGAACCCTGGGTGGCCAAATCCATGCGTGCAAACTTAACCACTACACCCCAGGCTGTCCGCTACTTTTACATTTAAAGAAGAAAGAAACAAAAGGCAGATCTTATGAAAACCATGTGATTTTATCAAAACGGTGGGAAATATTGATATTCAGTTATTCAGGCTGAAAATGACCTAAATGTGCACACGGATTTAGAGAGCTTTTAGTAAAAGGGTGAATATAAAGTAGTGAGACTATTTCGCCCCGTATACCAGTACTCATATAAACAGTCTTGAACATACAAATGATATATACTTGAAAAAAGGCAGGAGAGAGTTACCTTTCTGTTCCATAGGTTCTTTGTAGAAGCTGTGCGGTTAGGTTCTCAGGCAAGATCCCTCAAGTACTGGGGACCCTAACAAGTGTCATATGCTTGTTCCTCACTGATAGGTTTCATCACCTCTACGATTTACGCTCAGGCCCATGAGTGACCACTGCCAGCCAGAATCCTAGATGGCAAGGGTTCGCGGCAGACATTGGGGTGATGTGGAAGCCTACGCAAAGGTGCCAGTGCATACAGGATCACCATCACTGTCAAGCTTTACCAAACAAGAATTCTTGGTTATAGTCATGGTGGATTTTTTGTAAAAACAAAAGATTCAAATAAGAGTTTCAGGATAGTGAAAACAGTCTTCTGTGGGTTCAATGAAGAGCAATGGACTCTATCTGTGGAGCTTGGTATACAGTAGGCACTCAGTATATATTTGCTACATAAACGATTGCTCGAGGAAAGGAGACTAGGGAGGGAAATGGATGATGCTATGATTTAAACTAGGAGGCTGAGGATTAGGAAATAGTTGCTCAGCCAGTTGATTAGAACAGAGCTCTTTTTCTGGGAGCCCACCAGCTATGCTTTAAGATTATAGGAAGAATGGGAAGTTGTGACAGTGGAGTTTGTTTTGTATTATATTAAAAATGCATGAAAGTGGGTCATAAAAATAATTGCATAGTACCACATGCAAATTGGAGATCTCAGCTTTGCCCTATTTTCTGGCTCTGAACTGTCTTTATATTTTCTGTAATATTTTACACCCTGGAATAATTTCATTTAAAGGATATAACTGAGTAAAATGAAACTGGGAAGTTGTTTTTGGGGACATTTTAAAAATTCTTTTTTTGCTTTCCTTATACTTCTGAGTCATTATATAAGATAGTTGTGCTGTAAGATTTCAGATTATGACATGTAAAAGGGTAGTTTCTTATTTTCATTTAAATGTTCACTATTCAAAATCGACTTTGTAAAGAGCAGATAAGGACAGTTGAATTCCACTGGGAATAGAAATGAATACACTATAAGGGCCAACATTTGATTAAAAACCTGAAAATGATTAATTGAAAACTGGGAACTAAAGAAAATATCTCTTACAGCTAAAAAAAGGATGCTTTGGATTTTGGATGTACATGTTAATTGCATTGTTACTCAGGATTGCAGATCTGGACAAACATCCTTTATTCTCAGGTGAATTGCTTGCCTCTGGGGCAGGTAAATAGCTGGCTGACAACATCTCAATTGATGCTAAGGGAAGAAAGAGACCCAGGCCAGAAGTGGTGGTCCCAAAAAGAGGCACAAGACCAGGGAATGTGGGCCCTGGATTCCCAGTGTTTGCAAGCGTTGGGATAGTTGTGACATAGGCAAGGAGGGCAGACGGCAGGGTCCTGGGGCCCCTGCACCCAGACAGTATGTGCTCCAAGCCCCAGGACTTGGAGCTGGGGCAGCAACAAGACCAGCCGCTGCTGTGCCCAGTCATTTCCAGGCAAACCGAGGATGATGGAAAAAGCTGCAACTGGGGGTAACTGTCCTGGAATGAGAGGGAGGAAGGGAGCTGAGGACGTAAGGATCAGAAGACAAAGGCTGAATGCCCTGTCTTCTGATCTGTTTCCTAGCTTCCCTCCTCCCCCGAGAACTAAAGCAGGTGTCACCTCCCCCTTCTCTCTGATGTCTGAAACTTCTTTACTAGGAGTCCAAGCTTTTTATTCTACATTTAATGTGAAAGACATTTTTCTGGGAGAAGTTCAGTTGAAAATTAAAATCAGATCCTTTTCAGTTTTGTAATGGGGTAGAATAGACCAGGTAAGGTGGGGAGGGTACCAAAAGGAAGGCTGTGTTATAGAGAAGGGAAAGAGAAGAGAAAGCAGAGGCTGTGAGAGTCTACCTTACAACTTCAGGTGGGGCCTGCCCTGGAAGTCTTCTCGTGTGTAGAGTGGAGGGGTGATGGTGGAGAGATGGTGGGGTGGTGGTGGGGAGATGGTGGGGAGATGGTGGCAGCTAAAGTGAACCGGGAAAAATCACCTATTTTATCTTTCACGTCAAAGATTGTATTTCAGGGGTAGAAACGAGAGTGGAAGAGAAAACTTGAGAAGGGATGATATGTAGGTAAATATTTTTCATCTCTTCTTTAGTTGTCTGGTAGCTTGCACCATTTGATTTTAAGACATAAATTCTCATCATAGAGAGAAGAAAATTTGGCAGATGACACATGGTTAAGCACCAAGAGCCAATATCTTCTACAGAAAATCTGAGACTTCTGGTTGCTATAGTGTTTCAAGATGTATGAATGAGCTCCAGAACCAAAAATGTTCATCTTATGAGAGTTTAATGAACCGAGCAGAAGCTCATAGTGTACATGGATGGGTGAGGAATCAGAAAATCATGGACCCAAGGACCCTTTTTAGATAACTTTTTCCAATCACTCCCCCATGAAATTTTAATACCATAGAGACGCTGTCTATCTGTTTATATAATGTATGTATTTGTGCTTTCTATGTAAAAAGAGGAAGGTTTTTTTGCCTCCTAGAATCAATTTTCGCCCCCTTAGGATGATATTATCCCTGTTGAGAATGTTATGTTTTAGATGATATATTGACAGTTCATGCAATGTTATTTAATAAAAATTAATAATTATGAAATATTTTTTATCCACTATTCAGTGTCATTTACAGTTATTTTTAATCACAATAATCATAAATAATTTCATCAAATTAATAATTCAATAAATAATCTAATTTTCTATTAGCATAATCGATAATCATTTGGCTCAATTCTCTTTCCTACTGAGATGAAGAATGAACTGCTGAAACTCCTGGTGAAAACACTAATGTCTTAGTTTTTCCAACCCCCTACCTTCAATGGTGAGGTTGAAAACTTTCCTTGTATCTGCTCTGATTTTATTTTATTTTTTTAGTTTTTTAACAACTAACAAGAAACTCGAGTTTGTTGAGATATAATTCACATACCACACAATTCACCCATTTACAGTGTATAGTTCAATGGTTTTTGGTCACCACCGTCAATTTTAGAACATTTTCATCACCCCAAAAAAGAAGCCCTGTACCCAGTAGCAGTCACTCCCAATTTCCCTTCAACCCTCTTTCCCCGTCACCCTCTAGGCCTAGGCAACCACTAATCTACTTCTGTCTCAATACATTCACCTACTCTGGCCATTTCATATAAATGGAAGCATATAATATGTGGCTGGCTTTTTTCATGCCTGGCTTTTTTCCTTTAGTGTAATGTTTTCAAGGTTCATCCATGTAGTAACAGGCATCAGTACTTCATTCCTTTTTATTGCCAAGTAATATTCCATTGGAATGGATAGACCACATTTTATTTATCCACTCATCAGTTGATGGACATTTGGGTTGTTTCCACTTTTTGTCTATTAATAATGTTCCTATGGGCGTTGATGTACAAATTTTTGTGTGGACATAGTTTTCCATTTCTCTTGGATATATATCATTTTACACTCCCACCAGCAATGTGTGAGGGTTCCAATTTCTCCACATTGTCATCAACACTTACTATTGGTCTTTTTGTTTATAGCCATCCTAGTGAACGTGAAGTGGTATCTCATTATAGTTTTGAAATGCTTCTCTCTATTGGCTAATGATCTTGAGTATTTTTTCCTGTGTTTATACCCTGAGGTTTTGATTCCTGGAGAACATAAAAGACTCTTACCTTAATACTCTCAGGAATATTTTTAAAAGAATAACCAAGGACCTGAAACAGTGTCACATCCATCCCTTCCACCCCTCGCTGGCAATAAAGGGCATGCAATTGTCAGCACTCTGGCTAATCCAAAGGATACCTCTATATAACTTGGAAAGACCCCTTCCATCAAGAACCATTACTGCCATCTGCTAGAAAATCATCGTTATGGTGACTATAATGTGAGCAGTGCCCTCTAGAGTTGTTTAGTGCACAACCCACACAACCACACTTAGGGATCCTGGTTGTTGCTCTTTGAGACCGCAGAGGAGGAGGGCCAAGATGGTTATTCTGTTATTCTATTACCTTTCAAAGTTTAGCCCTGTGATTCTCCCTCTTCCTGTTTCTTCAACAACTCTTTCAGATTTGGTGGCCCTTCTATGCTGAAGAGTTTGTCGCAATCTCAAGCCTCTGTGTTAACATATGCAGAATAATATTCATAAGCATGAGTTATATAATTTTCTCTTTCTCCCATATGGAGGGATTGGTTATAGCTTTCATGAAGGCTTACACCTTTGAGTATACATATTAACTGCTTAACTATTTCAGAAAGGGGCTGTCACTGGAACTGCTAGTTGCCCCCCAGTATCCATTCTCTCCTTCTTCCTTGGGTATCAGAACTCTTGAGTTTAGCAGGGCACGTGGTCGCCTTGCTGACGACTGCGCATCCTAGCCTTCCTTGCAGCTGCAAGCAGCCATATCACCAGCTTTGAGCAATGAGATATGAGTACAAGTGATGTGTACAGCTTCCAGGCATGCCCCTGAGAGGAAAGGATGTGACTTTCGCTTCCACTGTTACTTTTCCTGATGGCTGGAATGCAGACGCAACGGCAGGGAATGAAACAACTATCTTAGATCATGGGATAGAAGTCTTATGATCTATATTTCTTGCTTCATGGAATAAACATTAAATAGAAAGTTTGCATAAAGTAAAATTTCCTACAGTGAATTCTCTTTCCAGTTAAATAAGAGCAGAACATGGTTTCCTTATAGACTAAATACATTTTTGTTATAAGTAATAGTTTAAATTTGGTTAGTTAGTTATTTCACGATAGTTATCTGTTCAAAATCTTTCTTCAGTACTCCTGTGAGGCTCTTCACATAAAGGATCATGTTTACTTTATCTGTTTGTCTCTGGTGTCTAGTATAGTGTCTTGCCCAAAGTGCTCTGTAGGTATCTGTTTATATACACGACTAAGTCAGTGAAATGTAGCCCATCCATGCCATGTTGATGTATATTCTGGGGATTCCAGACCCTACATAATAGTTTTCTTTCATTTAGGGGAGCATTTTGTAGATTTGTCTGTCATCATTCATCTATCTACTTGGCACGAGGGATTCAGAAATAAGCAAGATTGACAAGGCCCTATTCTTCATGGAGCTTTACTGACCAGTAATTGACAATTTCCTGGATCCTCGAGGTCACAAATATTCCTTCCAGGATCCTGTGTCCTGTGCTCCTTTGCAGTGAGCTAGAGTGTGAAGGGCACATGCTTTGAAAATACCCGGATTGGATTTGACTCCGGTTTTAACCTTTTGGGCCATGTTTTGCACCACCTCTGTACATGACAATTGCTCTTCCTCTTGCCTTTGACATCTACCACGAACTTGACTAGTTTAAATTAAGCTTATTTTGAATAAACGAAAGTAAGAATTACAGACACTGGTTAAATGAATGCAGTTTATTACTTTCCAATATAATACATATCATGTATTAAGATTAAGTGGATTTTATTTGTAAAAGTAACATGTTAACCAAAAACTTTACAAATTTCAATAGTTTCATGTTATTTAGTATATCATACAAAATAGTTCTTCACTATTTAACAATTAACTTACATATTTATGTATATACTTATGATATTTCTAATAGAGAACACTTGAACATGTGTAGAATTTCTGGAAGGATACACAAAAAACTGCTAACTGTGATTATCTCTGGAAATTAGCGGCTAAAACTTCTAGTGGAAGAAAACTTTTACTTTTCATTTTATATGCGTCTTACAATTTGAACTGTTTCTATGTGTGCTTGTTATTTTTTAATTATAAGAAACTAGTTTAAGTTGAAAACATATCAGTATATAATAAAGAGCAGTAGTAAAAAAATTAGTTACAGAACTCTGTGGTTAATTTAATTCTTAAATTTTTTGAGGTCTTGATTAAAATACTTATGTTTTAAAGAGTTATTTTGAAAACAGTATTCTGAAAATTCATAGAGAAAGAAATTATTCACACTTCTTTACTCTAGAAAGTTTATATACAAATTATATTTAGTGAGTACTTTTTTGGCATGGTGTTCTCTTAGTAAAGCTACAAGACTGCCATTTTCCATTGGATGACCCATGATAACATTGGTTTGCTCATCTGAGTTTCAATAAATTCAGTTAAGTGAAAAATCCCTTGAGGCAGGTGAATTCTACAACATTGTGATCTATATAGAAACAAATCTGTCTACTGAAAAATGCTTTGTAGTTTCTACTGCATCTCTTGAGTTTATATTTAATGCCAGGTTTATCAGTTGGCTATTGCTGTGTAACAAATCACTCTAAAACTCAGTAGCTTAAAACCATTAATACTGCTTACATGTCTACTGATCTGCTGGGCTTCAGTCGATCCAGGCTGGGCTCAGCTAGGAGACTTTACTCCAGGCTCGGATGGCTAAGGGCAGCTCTGTTTTTCACAGAAGCTGGTGGATTGGCTGGGGCACCTCTGCTCCTCATGTCTCTTGTTTTCCTGAGACCAGCAAGCTATCCAGGGTAGGTGTTTATCATGAGGATGGTACAAAAGAGTGAACAGAAGCACTTAAAGCCTAGGATCAGGACTGGCATACTGTCCCTTCCTTCTAAAGAGCAAGTCACACAGCCAAGCCAAAATATCCAGGGACAGGAACAGACACTCCACCCACGATGAGCATGGAAGTAGTGTGCATGAAAGGGTGAAGAATTAGGGCCAGCGAGTCAATCTGCCGCACCAGATTAGATCATGGAAAATTGGGGGGAAAACTAGAATAGAGATTAGACTGGTCTGTGGTTATGTGGGTTCAACAGGAGGCAGAAAATAGGAAACAGGATCTCTGGGTAGAAGGAAGGGAGGGTTTGTGAGAGGAGTGCTGAATCTTTTTAGCCAAAAGAGTTGACAGAATTACGCATGAAGGACAGCAGAGGGTTGACACGCCGTGCGTCCAGTGAGGAAAGAGCAATGTCGTGGGAGTGCAGGGCAAGAACAAGGCAAATAAGCCTATTAAGAATGTCTAGGTGGAGGATATCGATGCTGAAGACTTATTTTAGTTAACTAAAACCAGATACATAATTGTCATCCAATGAGCTTGTATATTTCCACATCATGAAATAGCCTGGAATAGTACAGTCTAAGAGAGTGAAGCATTTCTGCACTGAGTTCAAGTTTGGCCAATGTATTATAGATACTCTGTGACATTTTGCTATCTTAATCTCATCTAATTATAGTATTTTGGGCAGACAAGCTATAATCACCATTCTGAAAAATCATCCTCTTGGTTAATTTCGTGTTTTTCATTCAAATTGATGCTTTAATCAAAGTGATGAATCTTACACCACTAAATAAGGAATATTTCTAAGTAACTTAAAAATGTGTAAATATATGAAGCTTCCGTATGATGGGCTACCTACTGGGTCCTTAAGTACCATCAATTCATAATTTCTTCCTCCTGTTGATGTGAATTTAGGTGAGGTCCCACTTCTGCTTCTCCAGCGCTAGATCCAGTAGGGCCACACACATTTGCCTTTTTTATTTAACTGTACTATTTTAAGATACATCCCATTTCTAAGGAGACAGCTATTGTCTTTAAGTCAAACTGCATGCACAGCATCGTGGTCATTAGAATGGAGACAAATTACCTCATTAGTGGAATATACCTCTTCCTAAGGGAACTGATCCTGGCGCTCATATTTCTGACATATTCTGAGAAGACCTCTTAAGACTACTGGATGATCTTTGTTTCATTGCTACTGTGGTTTACAACTTTTTAAAAAATTAATTTGATATGCTTCTACATGTTCGAACATGTGATCTCTGGTCTCCATTTAGCAGATAGTTTCTCTACTTTTTTTATCCAGCAGCTTTTAGCTATAATACTTTTGGTGAAAGGTTTATTGAATGTGTACAGTTAGCCATGTATTAAACAGGAGAAGGCTTGATATGAGTAAGAAAATTGGCCTTGGAATTGTCATTTTGTCAGTCTACCACTTTTTGCTTCCTTCTATTTTATCGTTGTTGGTTTCTATCCTCTTGCTTTACAGGCTGGGAAGTGATGACACTCATTTTGAGGTTCGCATGGCCGATGATGGATGTGAAGTACATCGCTTTGATCCCAGCGTTAAGTCAGCTCATGTTCTGGAGAGCCAGCGCCTCTGGTTCCACCGCTTGTCTGTCGACTGGCGGGACCCCCATCCAGCTGTTGCAGCCCAAAAACTGCATAGCAATGCCAGAAAACTGGGAACCATTTTGAATGAATTTGGGCATCACAAGGTGAGATTTTTCACTTGATTTCACATGATTACATAAAGTGAACAAACTCATAAACAGTTTTTTTTAATGCAAACTAAGAGGTGGATAGTTGAAGATCCAATTTTAACCTAACTGATCGCCCATCATTATTTATAGAGTCAGCTCTGTGAATGTAAAGTTTGGCAAGGATAGAGATATTTAAATTGATTTGGAGATTTTAGTTGCTGTTGAGTAGTGCTAAGGTTTTGGCCAAGACTGAGCAAGGAGAGTAAGAAACCTACTTCTGGCATAGATTCAAGAGTACCATTTCCGTCTGGCAATTGATTTAAAATGCCCAGACAGAGCAAACTACTTATGTCAGCCTCAGATACAAAAAGTAATTGGAGCTGGGTTTATGTTTGATAAGAGATTGCTCGTCTATCATATTTCTCCCTGTTGTAACAACTATTTTGAGTCTCCAGGCTCTTAAAGGTCAGAAAATATGTGTAGCTTTGATTAAAATGTACTTTGTAAAATTGAATGGACATTATGTGTCGCAACTGATATAATGATGTCAAAGGATGTCAAATCTCTGCAAATATTCTCTTGTGAACAGATAGCATAAAGGAAACTCAAGCTTTGAACTGTGTTCCTTGAAAGCGATTTTTAGCGTAGACCTGAGCTAATTGCATCCCATAGGCAGATACTAGAGAAAGTCTCCTGAGTGTGGTTGGCTTGCATTTGATTGCCAAGTCTTCTTGGGCTTGGCCTATCTTGGCTTAACACTCCCAGCCAGAGAGGGCATGTAATTTAGAACGTGCCAGGATGGATGTTTCTGAGAAACAGTGTATGTGGAACTCAATTTTAAACTTGAGTTGGTGGCTTAATCTTTAATAAAAGAGCTTTTCTTCTGCATTCTTCTTCTTCCTCCTCTTCCTTTCCCTCCTCTTCCTCCCTCTCCCCCTCTTCCTCCTCCTCTTCTTTTTTTAAAACTCCTCTTAAGGGCCGGCCTGGTGGCGCAGCGGTTAAGTGTGCACATTCTGCTTCAGCAGCCCAGGGTTCGCTGGTTCAGATCCCAGGTGCAGACATGGCACTGCTTGGCAAGCCATACTGTGGTAGGCGTCCCACATGTAAGGTAGGGGAAGATGGGCATGGATGTTGGCTCGTTGCCAGTCTTCCTCGGCAAAAAGGGGAGGATTGGCAGCAGATGTTAGCTCAGGGCTAATCTTCCTCAAAAAAACCCCCCAAAAACTCCTTTTAATTGGACAGCAGGAGTTTCTTCGAGAACAACTTCAAAGAATTTGCTGCTCTTTTAACATGTGGTTAACTCTTGATTTATATTTTGCTTTGCCATTGAGAATAACTAGCATTTAATAGGAGCCTTAATGAAACACATATAGGATTTTGGGGGTAAAATCTCTGAACAGAACCAGAAGAAGTGGGAGCATTTTTCAGAACTTTGTTTTGCCACTTGTTAGCTTCCTAGATCTGTTTTTTTACAGCCGAAAATTACAGGCTGGATTCTCTAATATGTCGACTCTAGATCATTCAAAGAGGTAACTACAGAATCTTTGTGTTCACTTAGGAGTCTTGCTGCTACTTCTTAATGCTCTTTACACCCTGGCCCTATCCAGCTCCACTCTTCAAAGACAAGACTGAGTAGAGAAAAGAGATGGAACTCAAAGCCATTTTGCTTTTTTAAAATAATATTTTAGCAAAAGATTTGGTAAATGTGAGGATAAAATAAGAGTTTGGAACATGATCTGTGGACATAACTTATCTAAGCCACATGTCATATGGAAAATGTGTTTTTGGATAACCAGGTACGGACCTGAACCGTGCTTGTTTCACTGCAGGGGGAGCTGCAGTGGGCAAAACTCACTGCTGAGGATGGCTTGAAGCCCCTTACAACACTTCTCCTGAGACTGCAGAAACATTTATAGGGATACCTAGAAAGGAGAAATGTTTTAAAAGATTTCTTATACTACCAGGGCTACTTATTTTTATTGAAAACATTAATAATGATACTTTAAAAAGATGGTAATTTTATGTTATATGTATTTTACCACAATAAAAAAACATTGGAAAAACCCCATTAATAACGAAAATGATCTGGTTCAGAATAGCCAGGTATGTATTTGCTGCTTTAAAAAAAATCCCCTGTGGAGGGGCCGGCCTAGTGGCGCAGTGGTTAAGTTCACACACATTCCGCTTTGGCGGCCCAGGGTTCCTGGTTCAGATCCCGGGTGCAGACCTATGCACCGCTTGTCACGCCATGCTGTGGCAGGTGTCCCACATGTAAAGTAGAAGAAGATGGGCATAGATGTTAACTGAGGGCCAGTCTTCCTCAGCAAAACAAAAAGAGGAGGAGTGGCAGCAGATGTTAGTTCAGGACTAATCTTCCTCAAAAAAAAAAAATAAATAAAAATAAACATTAAAAAAAAAAAAGCCCCTGTTGAAAAATTTAAAAGATACTGATATGCCTTTCATAGACGTTTTCTTGGTGAATACTTTAAAACAAAAACTAAACCCTCTGGTGCGTGATTGCTTCCATTACAAACATGCTTCTAGGAGCTATGGGGTGCCAGATAAAAGGAAACCTCATTTCCGGCCTGTAGCAAGCAAGGTCTGTTTTCACTTTCCTGCATGTGTACAGACATGGGTAAATAGGATGTGGCTCTGGCAGGGAAAGCAAATAGAAAGAAATATACACCAAAAATGTCAGTGCCTTTGCCTGGCCTTCTTCACTCATTTTTTCTGAAAGTGCCTGTAGAAACCAGAGGGGTTTTAGTTGTTTCATTTTCCCTTCATGACTTTAAAATATCTCGTATAGTTTTGTGATGTTTTCCACGTTAAGCTGTGATTTTTCTTCTTCTCTTTATCCATGCCTGGATTCCAGCCACTCAGGCAAAAATGTAAGCAAAAGTGAAAGGCAGTCTTCTGAGAGGGCGACAGAAAGATGCATATGGCTTTCGTACTGCTTTTAAAACTCTTTGGTAATTTTAACTTCAAACTGTAAATCACAAAGCCTTTCTAAAGCGTCCAATGAGAGCGGCTGCGTCAGCAAAAAAGCCTGTGAACCAGAAGCCCGGGCTGTCAGGAATGAAATCACCTGGATCCACCATTATTTGAAATGCTTAACTGTCCTCTCTTTGCTGAAGTGCTTGTTGTTGTAACGGCCCATAAGAATTTTTCCAGAAAGTGACTAGAAATATCGAATCTGAAATTTCTGCTCATATGAATCAATCATAATGTATGCTTTTTTTCTGAAGTCTTTGTTACACAGAGGATCCTACATGATCCAGGCTGGTTGATGGGAAATTATTATTTTTAGTCAACCATGCTGATGATAATATGAAGAACAGGACTGCGTTAGGGTTTACCTGTATAAGATCACTAATCTGGGTTTGGGGCGTGGGTCTTCTTGTCAGTTTCTGGTGTGGGGCAAGTCATTTCACCTCTCTGGCGCTCAGTTTGATGGTCAGTAAAATGGGGACAATGATTCTACCTAAATGGATTGTTTTTGAGCATTAGATGCGAGAACACTGTGTGAGAGGCTCCAGCATAGCCTGGCAGGAGTTAGTCATTCGATTGCAAATTCAAAAATTTTTTATTAATAATTTCAGTTAGCTTTTACTAAATTTTACAGAAAACATTTTCTTCTTTTTCTTTCTTTGTTTTCAGGGAAAATAGCTCAGAGATTTCTCTGGAAATTGCTAAATGCACCTAGTTCCAGTCCAGAGTTTTTCATGAAAGCTTTGTGTGAAACTGAAGGGCAATTGGCTCTTGTTCACTGCCTGGGGGCACTCGACAGCTTTGCCCGCGATTGTATAGAAAGTAAATACTGTGCTGTACACAAATTAAATAAGCTGCCGGGAATTAATACAGAGACCGCGGGGCGGGGGCTGCTGGTCAGACGCCCCGGGGTGGAGCTGGACTTCCTGCCATCCTTACCCAGATGCTGCCCTCGTGGCTGAGAGTCCGAGTGGCCCCTCGGAGGAGCGGCAGTTGCTGCTTCTCTGGGCGGGGCGCTCGCCGCTGTTCACAAAACATCAGTTCTGTTGGGTGGTTGCTGCTCTGTTTGACAGAATGTAGGCTTTGAAATTCGAGTACAGAGAGAGTCCTTTTCCTTTTTGCTTATCAAATTGGCAAATATAAACGAGATATTGATAGTGCCTTACATTGGAATGATTGTTGGGAATGATACGCATGCTTCGCTGCTGGAAATGGAAAATGATAGACTCCCTCAGGGAGAGAATTCGTCCGTGTGATGTCAATTTTTATTTCTGGAATTCTTTTTTGCCTTAAATGCTGTTTTGTGTGATATTAGTTCTGCCATACCAGCTTTTAAAAAAATAAGTATTTCTATGAAATGCCATTCTAGATTTCTTTAATTTCCTTTTTTTTGGATATAGTTTTAGTTTATGTGTAGCCTGTAAGAGCAACATATTCAGTACATGCTTGGATTGTGTTTTTAAATCCAGTCTGATAATATGTCTTTAAAGGGATGTATTTAATTCATTTATGTTTATATTTATTGCGATTACTGGCATATTTGGACTAATTTCTACTCTTTTAAATTGGGCTTTTTTGGTATTCTGTACTTTTTCTCTTCTTGCCAAAGCTTGTATTATTACTCTTCATGGTTACTCTTAAATTTTAGATGTATATAATTAACTACAAAATTTTAAAACAATATGTGAAATTATTCAGTATTTCTATATTCCTCCTAAACACTACCAGGATCATAGCTAGTTAACTACCCATCAGACATGGGCCCCTGGCATTGTTATCATCTGGAGTTTTAGTTTTACCTTTTTTTTTTTACATTTTCTTTTGAAAAAAATTTTAAATGCAGAAGTTGCAAGTTGCAAGGATAATACAATGAACTCTCATCTCTTGTCAATATTTTTCCATATTTGCCCTCTTTCTCTCTGATTTATACAAATATATATATTTATATTGAACTACTGTCTCTGCAAATTTTAAAAAATTCTCGATGGAAAGGAATGGATGGATACTTCCATAATACATCTATCTAT